GATTACAGACATGTGCCACAACACCCAACTGATTTTTGTATATTTTTAGTAGAGATGGGGTTTCACCATGTTGGCAAGGCTGGTCTCGGACTCCTGACCTCAAGTCATCCACCTGCCTCGGCCTCCCAAAGTGCTTGAATTATAGATGTGAGCCACTCCATTTTCTTTCTTTCTTTTTTTTTTTTTTGAGATGGAGTCTCACTCTGTTGCCCAGACTGGAGTGCAGTGGCAAGATCTCGGCTCACTGCAAGCTCTGCCTCCCGGGTTCACGCCGTTCTCCTGCCTCAGCCTCCCGAGTAGCTGGGACTACAGGCGCCCGCCACCACGCCTGGCTAATTTTTTGTATTTTTAGTAGAAATGGGATTTCACCGTGTTAGCCAGGATGGTCTCGATCTCCTGACCTCGTGATCCACCCGCCTCGGCCTCCCAAAGTGCTTGGATTACAGGCCTGAGCCACTGGACCCGGCCTCCACCCCATTTTCTAAACTGGAAGCTGAAAGACACAGGGCAGATTAATAATCCCTAAAGCCAAAGGACAGGAAATTTTAGCAAAGACTCCAATTTTTTGTGCAGTCTAATTTTACTCATGATTGCTTTAGAGATGGACTCCTTAATCAACTCCTCCAATCCTCATCCGCCCCCAGGGGGCAGTTGTAATTGATAGGCTTAGCACATGATTGAAATTAAAAACTTACATCTCATGGTGCTTGGCTCATTTAAGCAACCAATGGAAACTCAGGGCCAAATCTTTGTAAAAGTTCTAGGCTCTGCTTCCCAGCAGAGGGGGGACCGGCTCCCAAGGAGGCCGTTTTGTGGAGACAGACATGTGAGAAGTGGGCTTCTGATCTATGTCATGGCCTTGGTCGTTGTGCAACTGGCCAGTTCGGTTCACGGAAGGATGCAAAGGGCAGGGAGGTGGGAATAGAGCGGGGGAAAGGTGACTCTCGTCAAAGACTTTTTCTAACACCCATCAAGTATCGTGATTAGAACATTTTTCTCCGCAGACTCTTCCAATTTTCGAGCGCGGTATTTTTGGGCACAGGAAATGGCCCGGAGGAGCTGCAGAGCAAAGCCTCCCCTCTCTGGCACCGAATGGGAGTGCCCCGTGGGATGAGGGAGAGGACAAGGCAGTCAGGCAAAGGTTAGGGGAGGAAAGCAAAGGCAGGGGCCCAGAATGACTCCAGGAAATGTTTGGATTTCTCCACCAGGAGGGAGGACAAACAAGCTTTTTTCTTGCCTTCTGGGCAGCTTTGTGTGCTCTCCAGCACGGAGTCCGAGGAGGAAAAGCGAAGCTGAAAATAAAAATTATCCTGGGGCTGGACCCATTCGCTCCTCTACGGGCACGAATCTCTTCGGATACCCCCAACCCTACCGCCTCTCAGAAATGACCACTTTTGCAAAATTGCATGCATTTCCAAGCTTCATCCGGCTCCAGGCTTGGCCTCTCGGAGAGGCAGGCGGCTTATGAGACGGGCTCCAGAGAAAAGACCTCCCTGGGTCTGTCATTTCCTGGCTGAAGTTTCTCTTCTCGCTGCTGTGGCAGCATCCAACCCACACACACAGGACCCGCATCCTGGGTGATGAAGTCAGACATGCAGCAGCTGGGTGAGTGCTGACGCTCCGATAAGCATCTGTGTCATTGTAGGGACTCCCTGGGCTGCTCCGCACCCGGGCACTTGCTCTGTCCCCACCATGTACAACGGGTCGTGCTGCCGCATCGAGGGGGACACCATCTCCCAGGTGATGCCGCCGCTGCTCATTGTGGCCTTTGTGCTGGGCGCACTAGGCAATGGGGTCGCCCTGTGTGGTTTCTGCTTCCACATGAAGACCTGGAAGCCGAGCACTGTTTACCTTTTCAACTTGGCTGTGGCTGATTTCCTCCTCATGATCTGCCTGCCTTTTCGGACAGACTATTACCTCAGACGTAGACACTGGGCTTTTGGGGACATTCCCTGCCGGGTGGGGCTCTTCACCTTGGCCATGAACAGGGCCGGGAGCATCGTGTTCCTTACGGTGGTGGCTGTGGACAGGTATTTCAAAGTGGTCCACCCCCACCACGCGGTGAACACCATCTCCAACCGGACGGCGGCTGGCATCGTCTGCACCCTGTGGACCCTGGTCATCCTGGGAACACTGTATCTTTTGCTGGAGAACCATCTCTGTGTACAAGAGACGGCTGTCTCCTGTGAGAGCTTCATCATGGAGTCGGCCAATGGCTGGCATGACATCATGTTCCAGCTGGAGTTCTTTCTGCCCCTCGGCATCATCTTATTTTGCTCCTTCAAGATTGTTTGGAGCCTGAGGCGGAGGCAGCAGCTGGCCAGACAGGCTCGGATGAAGAAGGCCACCCGGTTCATCATGGTGGTGGCAGTTGTGTTCATCACGTGCTACCTGCCCAGCGTGTCCGCCAGACTCTATTTCCTCTGGACGGTGCCCTGGAGTGCCTGCGATCCCTCTGTCCATGTGGCCCTGCACATCACCCTCAGCTTCACCTACATGAACAGCATGCTGGATCCCCTGGTGTATTATTTTTCAAGCCCCTCGTTTCCCAAATTCTACAACAAGCTCAAAATCTGCAGTCTGAAACCCAAGCAGCCAGGACACTCAAAAACACAAAGGCCGCAAGAGATGCCAATTTCGAACCTCGGTCGCAAGAGTTGCCTCAGTGTGACAAATAGTTCCCAAAGCCAGTCTGATGGGCAGTGGGATCCCCACATTGTTGAGTGGCACTGAACAAGCAGACCAACAACACTGAGGAAGATAGAGTGGTGACTTAGAATTAACTCGGTAAGGGGTTGGGGGCTTTGAAAATGCCACCCCCCTTTCTTATTGCAAGACGGCTTCACGCACATGAACTGCATCCTCATTCTGTCGGAAATGAAATTCACACAACTATACCTTTTGGGGAGGTTCCAGTTGATTGAAGTGAGTTGGTTGCATTTTCTTATCTGATTACGATGGCAGGGGACAGAATGTGCATGGAGTGGAGCATGTGTGTGTTGGGAGGGGGGTTAGCAACTGGACAGCCCCTGTGTAATTTTCGTTGTTTGTTTTTGTTTTGAGACAGAGTCTTGCTGTGTCTCCCAGGCTGGAGTGCGGTGGCACAATCTTGGCTCACTGCAACCTCCGCCTCCCGGGTTCAAGCAACTCTCCTGCCTCAGCCTCCCGAGTAGATGGGATTACAGGCTCCTGCCACCACACCTGGCTAATTTTTGTATTTTTAGTAGAGACAGGATTTTGCCATGTTGTCTAGGCTGGTCTCGAGCTCCTGACATCAAGTGACCCGCCTGCCTCGGCCTCCCAAAGTGGTGGGACCACAGGCATGAGCCACCGCGCCCAGCTTCCCCTGAGTCATTTTAAATGGCTAAGTAAATGGGCATATGTGTTTAAATGGGGCATATTCTCTCTCTTAGGAGGTGGGGGGCATTAGCATCATTTCCTATCCTCTGACCTTAAATCATTCCTTATCTCAGAAAATAGAAACCGGGCTAAGTCAATCAATACTTTTTAATTTCAGGCTGAAGGAGGCTGTTTAGATTGGGATGTATTGATCTATTAATTTTCATCTTTACATTTTTTTGTACATCTGTACATTTCTTTGTCATCGACTTCCCAGTAGCCCAAGAAGAACAACAACAAAACAATCTGCTCTGACCTTCTTCAAATCTTTGTATTTCAAATAATGTGCTGAGGGATCTGTTTCCCTGCCCTGGCTTCTCCAGTGGTATGTGCTGAGTCCAATACAATTGCTTTTACAATTGCTTTTGATGACTTATTATGTGACTGTGAATTGAAATTATTCATTTACTTATTCTCCAAGTATTTACTGAATTCGTATTTGGTGGCAGGCACTATACTGTGTAATTTTTAGTGGAGGGTCATTAGTCAACTCTTGTGTGACAGTAAAGTTTTTTAGGGGGTGGGAGCAGACAAGTTAAGAGTTTTCATCCTTTCACGGAATAATTTCTAGACCTGTTCTGTGTGAACATCAGTGTTGTACTCTTATTGCAAAACTCCCTCCTACACATGAGCTTCCCAAATGTGTACCTGGACCCCTCAAAACAGAGGACTCTATGAAATGACAAGCTGCCCCTGCCCTGAATTAGGGGGAAACATTCCAGGCCAACTCCAGCTCCTTTCTCAAGCCACAAAGTGGTGAACATGGTTCTCAACTCCTTAATTTATACTCTCTCAAATGCCCAGGATACTCTCCCCACTGAAGAACTTTGCCAGCTTCTGGGGGCCGGGCGTAGTGGCTCAAGCCTGTACTCCCAGCACTTTGGGAGACTGAGGTGGGCGGATCACCTGAGGTCAGGAGTTCTAGACCAGCCTGACCAACATGGAGAAACTTTGTCTCTACTAAAAATACAAAATTAGCCCTATGTGTTGGTGCGTGCCTGTAATCCCAGCTACTTGGGAGGCTGAGGCAGGAGAATCGCTTGAACCCAGGAGGTGGAGGTTGAGGTGAGCTGAGATTACGCCATTGCACTCCGGACTGGGCAACAAGAATGAAACACCATCTAAAAAAAAAAAAAAAAGCTTTGCCAACTTCTAGTTCTTTGGCCCCAAAACACCCCTCTAGGCTGTCCCTATTGTTCCTTTTTCCAGAGGCACTGCACAGCCTAGTGATGAAAACTACGAGTTATAGAGCATTAGATGCATCTAAGTTGGAATCTCATCTCAAGTATTTACTAGGCCTGTGATCTTAGGGCAGATTGTATTTTTAGACACTGAGTCTCGCTCTGTTGCCCAGGCTGGAGTGCAATGGCATGATCATAGCTCACTGCAGCCTCAAACTCCTGGGCTCAAGTGATCCTCCCACCTCAGCCTCTTGAGTGGCTGGGAGTACAGGCATGAGCCACCACACTCAACTAATTTTTAAATTTTTTTGTAGAGATGAGGTCTCACTCACTGTGTTGCCCAGGCTGGTCTCAAACTCCTGGCCTCAAGCAATCCTCCAACCTTGGCCTGCCAAAGTATTGGGATTACCTGCATGAGCCACTGCTCCCAGCCTGGCAGATTTTTTTTTTTTTTTTTGAGACGGAGTCTCACTCTGTCGCCCAGGCTGGAGTGCAGTGGCCAAATCTCGGCTCGCTGCAAGCTCTGCCTCCCGGGTTCATGCCATTCTCCTGCCTCAGCCTTCGGAGTAGCTGGGACTACAGGCTCCTGCCACCGCGCCCGGCTACTTTTTTGTATTTTTAGTAGAGACGGAGTTTCACCGTGTTAACCAGGATGGTCTCGATCTCCTGACCTAGTGATCCGCCTGTCTCGGCCTCCCAAAGTGCTGTGATTACAGGCATGAGCCACTGCGCCCAACCCAGCCTGGCAGATTTTATTTAACCATTTGTAGCTTCACTTTCCTCGTCTGTCAAACAGGGATACTATAACACAACCTCGGTGTGTCATCGGGCAGTTTAAATGAATGTACATTTCTGAGGTGTCAGAACTCTGATCACTGTTATATACCCAATGCCTAGAAGAGGACCTGCACATAGCAGGTGCCCAGGAAATGTTGAATGAATGCATGATTCAGTGCATGTAAAGCATTAAGCATAGCGCCTGGCAGTAAGTGCTCAATATTATGACTTCTTATATTAACACGTTTTACACATAAAGAAGTGGAGGCACAGAAGCAATTTCCTTTGGGGTTTAGAGCCCTTAAGTTGTTGCTCTGTTACACGCCTGAATTCCCCCGCACCTCAGTTACCTGGGAAAGAGTGAAGGCAAGAATTCTTACCAGCATTGAAGAGTCATACATCCTCCTGATAGGAATCTGTGAAAATACACACTTCTGCTTTTAGTTCTGTTCTTAGAATTCTCTCCTGGGCTGTTGCTCCTTTGTTCCTTCATCGTAATAAAAATGGATTCTGAAAGCAAATCTGTGTCCTGTGTGTGACTCTAGGTCAAAGGACCCCTAGGATTTTGCCCTCCAAGGGAAAAAAGCTAAGATATTCAGAACTGCATGGCAGGCAGGCAGAGGTTCTCACCGAAAAAACAGCAAGCACAAACAAAAAGAAAAATCAAATCCAAACTGAAATACAGTCTTGATTCTAAATTTGCTTCCCTTTTTACATTCGCAGAATGTGATGAAAAATACATCTTAGCAAGAAGTGTCTTTGGACATCGTAAAGAAGTAGAGTATAGCTTTTGTTGACAACACTTTGTTTAAACTATCTGAAACAGGAAAATGATTGATTTAGAGGAAAATGTGTTCTCTCTCTCTCTCTTTTTTTTTTTTTTTGGAGAGACAGGATCTCACTGTGTTGTCCAGGCTGGAGTGCAGTGGTGCGATCATGGGTCACTGCAGCCTCGACTTCCTGGCTCAAGTGATCCTCCCACCTCAGCCTCCCTAGTAGCTGGGGCCACAGGTACACTCCACCGAGTCCAGCTAATTTTTCTGTAATTTTTCTAAAGATGGGATCTCATTATGTTGCCCAGGCTCGTCTCAAACTCCTGGGTTCAAGTGATCCTTCCTCCTTGTTACTCCTTTTAGAGTCTTTCCAGAAAAGTCACATGAAACCTGGAAGAGCTATTAGTCTATAGGGATGATGTGGAAAAAACAAGAGGTATCTTTTATTCGTGCTAACCATGGTAAAACTTTCAGTTTTGGTCTGTTCTCAGAATGGATTTCCTTACCTTTTATTAAAACAAAAATGTTTAAGATGGCATCTGAAGGTTCCTGGAGTGCAGGGCTCCTTGGAGGGGATTAGAACTCTGGGGCACAAGGGCTTGAGCCAGTTGTTAAGGTTCTACATGGTGGGGACTTGGCTGCACTGTGAGGCATGGTCTCTACTTGTTGGCTTTCCAGGCCTTCTGATTCACAGAGGTTTCTAATACGATTCAAGAAAGACTCCATCATCACAATGAGTGCATAAATGGCTTCAAGATCAGTGACCCTACTTTGCAGGCCCCAGTGAAAAATGAAAATGTGGGGGCCCTTGTTCAAAAGGTGTTAATGGCTGAGCGAGGTGGCTCATGCCTGTAATTCCAGAGCTTTGGGAGGTTGAGGCAGGAGGATCACTTGAGGCCAAGAGTTTGACACCACTCTGGGCAACACGGTGAGACTCCATCTCTATAAAAATTTTAAAAATTAGCCAGGTGTGGTGGTGCATGACTGTAGTCCTAGTTACTTGAGAGGCTGAGGTGAGAGGATCCCTTGAGACCAAGAAGTAGAGGCTTCAGTGAGCTATGATCATGCCACTGCACTCCAGCCTGGGTGACAGAGTGAGACCCTATCTCTAAATTTAAAAAAAAATTTTTTTTGAGACGGAGTCTTGCTCTGTAGCCGAGACTGGAGTACAGTGGCACATCTTGACTCACTGCAACCTCTGCCTCCCTGGTTCCAGCGATTCTTCTGCCTCAACCTCTTGAGTAACTGGGACAACAGGCACATGCCTGTTAGCAGCAGGCTAATTTTTTGTATTTTTAGTAGACACAAGGTTTCACCATATTGGCCAGGTTGGTCTTGAACTCCTGACCTCGTCATCCACCCACCTCAGCCTCCCAAAGTGCTGGGATTAAGGTGTGAGCCACTGTGCCCAGCCAAAATTTTTTTTAAGTAATAAAAAGTATTAAGAATTTTGAAGATGGTAGCACAGGGCCCTTCTGAGCTCATCCGTGAATCTGAGGCTCTACGTTTATATAAATATTTTTTATTTATTATATATATTTTTGCTATATAATTTTTACATATGACATATAAGTGTTTATCATATTTACTATATTATATATCATATACATATATAAATTATATAATATAAATATATAATCATTTATATATTAAGAGAGAGAGATGGAATAAACAGATGAAAGAGATGGGCTCACATATGAGCCAAATCTGTATTCGGGTTTCTTTGTATTGGACTATAAAATGATATAGTGGGAGGGGGGTAAATATTTTATTCCTTATAAGGATTCATTCATTC